CACTGCACCGGGACCTCTGGGTGGAGGGACCCGCGCTCTCTGCAACGCCACCGACTCCAATAAAATCCTTCCAGTGCCCAAAACACTAAGGGGAGGGTGGGGGCGAAGCTGTTTCTTCTTTTTGGGTGCCGGTGGAGCGAGGGGGGGCCCAGGCTGTGGGTGTCCCCCAGGGCTGGGGGACAAGCCTGGTGTTGATGCATCCAGCCCTGGCAAAGCCAACTCGTGTCGCCAGGGCTCAGTGGGGCAGCGGTGGGGGTGACGGGGTTTGGGGTGCCTGTTGTGGGTAACCTGGACCCGTGACCCCGTTCCCGGCATGGTGACAAGTTTCGGGTTTACTGGCCTGGCAGGCAACAAAGAAATGGGGCAATCAAAAGCAAAACAAAAACCAGCGCCAGCCCCGGGGGTGACGGCAGGGGCATGGCAAAACCTTGGCCCCACGGTGCCAACACCGGCGTGCGGCCGAATCGGTGTCTTCGGGGGTCCCCTTGCAGCTGGGGACGTCCCCCCATGGGCTTGTCCCAGGTCTGGGGGAGCTGTGGGGTGGGTATGGGGGGGATTGTGGTTGTGATGATGCCAGCACGGGTGCTGGGCTCAGCTTATCCTCGGTGCTCGTGGCATGATGGCACGGTCCCAAGCCACTCACCCCGGTGATGCTGAACATCCCCGGGGTGACACATGGGGGATAAAATGGACAATGGGGACCCCCAGCCCCACGGGGGACCCCAGCATGGGGAGCAGCCCTGCCCTTCCCCATTATTTGGGTGAGGGGAGCAGAGGGGCTACGCCAAACCCCGGGAGGAGCCGATGGGCGAGCAACACACCGGGGAGGGGGAGAGCGTGTGGCCCCAAAAGGCGTCGGGGCTGGGACCGCAGAGGAAGCAAACAGCCCGCGAGATGCCGGGTAAGCAAAACGCCGAGCGGGGCGGAGGGAGCACAAAAGGAAGGGGTGCCCTTGGGCACGATGCCGGGGTGATGGTCGCGGAGCATCCCTGGCAGCAGGCGGAGGGGCTGCCGGACTTCACGCCTTCCGTCGCCTTCTCGTGATTGGCCTCGTTAAGGGCTGCTGCTTCTCCCTCCTAAGGCTGCCAGCGAACTGGCCGAGGTGGGGGACACCCCACAGGGCTTGGGGTCCGGGGGGTCGGCGATGGCCGGGGTGAGGGTGGGAGTGGGATCCTCCTGGTTATCCTGCAGGGAAGGGGCTGCCCTGTGCACGAGGAAGCCCCGGCCCTCCCACCATGGGTACCGCTGCTCCAGCAGCCCTGCCGAAACCCGCTCCTTCATGTTATTGTAGGGCCTACAGCCTCCCTGCCTGCGGGCTGAGGGTCAGGGACGGCCCCACGGGGCCCTCGGCTGATTTTGCACCCTGTGGGGATGCGAGTGCATGGCTTCGGTGCTGAGACACCCTTAAACTCAGCTGGTCGTGGGAAATCCCAGCCTTTGCCTACCCTGGCTCTGGCAGGGAGCATCCATGTGATGAGTTGTGACCGTTCTCTGGCCTCTCTACCTGGGGGAGGCTGCAGGGGGTGGAGGGGGCTCCGTCCCAGCTCCCCGAGCACAGCCCTGAGCGAGGTGAGGAGCCGGTTCCCATCCGCTACGGCACAGCAGGCTGCAGGGTGATGGTGTGAAGGAGATAGGCTCCGCGCCACCGGTGAGGCAACGGCACAGCGGGCGTTATCACAAGCTGATCTCTGCATCTAGCAGGGGAGGGGGAGGAAGAACAGCCCCTACCCAGGTCTGAGCCGGATCAGGTCCCCCCCGGCTGGGCACCGACAGCCCCAAGGTGCCAGGCAGTGACTGAGGGAGGGGGCTGAGCTGGTGGAGGGGCACGCAGTGATCCCCCCGTGGGGATGTGATGCTGCGGGGAAGGGTCCCAAAAAGAGCAAACTGGGAGGGGTTGTACCCACCCAAGGATGAGGCCTGATCTGCGCCCTAGGCAGCATCGAGGGCAGCCACGCTCTTTCTCCGCCCGTCCACCAGTTTGGACTGGAAATGCACTGGGATTGGGGCAGACGAGGAGGCCCAGCAGCGGGCAAGGGGTGCCCGGTCCCCACCTTCTCTTGCCACCCACTCTCCCCCCCAGCTCCTCTCTCTTTTTTTGAAATCACGTGATAAATGTCAAACGGCGGGTGCCGTTACTCATCCCGCTGCCAACTCAGCACCGCTTTCCTCCGGGGGCGGCTGCCGCTGAGTCAGGAGGCCGCTGGGCTCCCTCTGGGGGCATGGGGACCCCCGGCCCCCCCCAAAATCACCGACCCCTCTCTAGCTCCTGGGCCATGCAGAAGGAGCCAGGCAGCTCTGGGATGTGTGTCACCCGGGGCAGTCGCGTCCCCATCCTGCGTGCATGATGCTCGCCTGAGTTTGGGGGTCCCGGCATCCCAGGTTTGGGGTGTTCGCCTCCAAAACCGCTGCCTGGGGGCTGCCCCATTCCTGCCACCCTTGGGATGGTGCTGGGGGAGACGAAGGGCTGGCAGTAGCCCCAGAATGCCAGTGCTCACGGTGAGCACGAGGCTCGGTGCCCAGCGGCTGTGCCGTGCCTGCGATCGTTGGGCTAAGCAGCTTGCCACATCCCATGAGCAGGATGCGGGCGCATCACCCCCCCCCCCCCCCCCCCTTGCACCCTCACCTTCACCCATGGGGACCACCCCACCTCGGCCCCGCTCTGCGTGGGGAAACCCTGAGACATCCCCACTGCAAAGAGGGACCGGTCCCCACCGATGCCTCCCACACCCCCGGGAGCACCGTGCCTCAGTTTCCCTCACCCACCCCGCTGCGGCTCCACCGCCCGGTGTGCAGGGCGAGCGAGGCTGCCCGGGGTGGTGGTGGTGGGGGGGTGTATGTGTGTGTGCGGCCCCGTTTCCTCCGACCCCCTCCCCTCCATGGGTGCTGCCGCCTCCTCGGCACCTTCGCAGGAGGGAGCTGCAAACCGCAGCGCTGCGTTGTGGCTTTGGTCTCGCCCTCCCCCCCCCAACCCCCCCGGGGGCAGCAGGGCTTTCGCCTGGGGCGCCCGCCCTGGGCTGAACTGGGTGCTCCCAGACACTGGTGCACCTTGGGGTGCCTGACCACCTTGCAGGGTTCAGGGTGCCACCATACCACGCATGCATGGCACCCCTTCTTTGCTGCAGTCCCGGTTCCCAAAAATCACCTCAGAGTGCCTCTGCAGCTGCCCTGCCCCAAGGGTGCTGGGGGGGGGGTGGCCCAATGTGGCCCCCACTGTCCCCACGACTTGGGGCAGGGGACCGGGTGGCCAGGAGCATCCTCCTGCTGCCGCAGGCATCGCACCCCGCTCCCCACGGCAGCGGCTTGGGACTGGGATGGGGCAGTGGTCGCACCTTGGGGGGACCGGTGTGGGGGTCCCGCTGACAGCCGAGGGTGGGAGGACCCACGTCGGGGCTCGGGGGCTCTCGGTGGGGGTCAGGGGTCTGGCTGGACCCACCGGGGCCTGGCTGTGCCAGCTACGGTGGCAAGGGACGAGCCGGTCCCACCTCAGCCGTGAGCAGGGCTGGGTTGCGGGGGGCTTCCCGCGGTGGCAGGGGTTGGGGTCCATCACCTCCAGCCTGTCCCAAGGGCAGCGGGAACATCCCCAGGGGGAATTGTCCTCCGAAACATCAGGGATGTCACAGCATCTGCACAGAGCATCGTCCCCCAGAGCCACCCACGTGTGGGCAGCCCCCTCCCCACCCCGGGGGCCGTGTCCCCCCCACCCGTGGTGGGACACACCGCAGCACGCGTGGCTCCGTCCCCACATCCCCCAGTGTCCCCGTCCCCTGCCTTGCAGCGGATCACACCTCGCCGTTTCCTATGCGGCAACTTTCTTTTTTTTTTTTTTTTTTTCCCAGCAAAAAACCCCTCTTATTTTGGGCTGGTTGAAAGGTTTCTTTTTCCAGCAGGCTTTCAGGTTTTTTTTTTCTTTTCTCAGCCTTTCTATCGTGTAGGGGAAAAATGAAACAATTCTCGCTGCTCAGGTCCTGCTTTCTCCTGCAGCTGGGTCCTGCGCCACAGAGGGGGGGCAGGGAACGGGGACCAGGGATGCTCCTGTCCCATTGCCGGGTGTTCAGAGCCAGCTCCAAGCAGGGAGGACAGTATCCTGGTGTCCCCGGTTGCATGTGCTGTGAAGGGGATTCTCTGATGTCTAGTAAGTGTTGTGCTAACGTCTTGCCCTGGGTGTTTCTTGCTCCTTCTAACTTTGCCTGCCAAAGGGGTCCATACGCTCGTGGGGATCACCCGTATGCACAAGCCGACCCCCCCCAAGCCAGGCTGGAGGGACCCCCGTGGCTCCAGGAGGGCTCCAGGGGATGCCCCCCCGGCAGCTCAGCCCTGGCTCCCCTCCGTCGGGGTTTATAGGAAACGGCACTGCGAGGAAGCGCCCGGCACTCCTGCC